TCGCCGGTGATGCTCCTGTTCCTCGGGCGGTGTGGTCATTCGGGGACCTACCGTCACGTCCGCCGCCACCTCTATTGCTATTGTTGCCATTTTCGGCGCCACCGTTTCCATCGCTTCGTTGTCCACCTGCTCGGCTGGCATCGTCCTCTGCGTCGTCGTCGCTGCTGTCTCCACTTCCGTCATCACCAGCCGGCGCGATGGTAACACTGCTGCTCACCGCCACTTCATCGTTGCCGCCGTTCCCGTCACCCGTATTCAAGCGGATGCGAGCTCTAGGCTGGCGCGTCTTCCTCGGTGCTACTGGCGTAGTAGATGATCGTCGAGTCGTTGCACTGGTGGGCGTCGTGCTCGACGTCGGCGTGCTCGATCTCCTAGCTGCACGGGCTGCTCGCTTAGCCATTGTCGTCTTCTGCGTTGTCTTCCTCGTCAATTCAGCGTCTGCTTCTTTTCTTCTCTCTCTTCCTCTTCCTGCTCTCTCTCTCTCTCTCTTCCCCTCTCTTCCCCTTCCTCTCCCTCTTCCTCTTCCCCTTCCTCTTCCTCACTCACTCGTCTCTTTCTCTCTTCTCCCTCGTGGCGGGGTTCGTGCCACAGGGCCAAGCTTCAATAGAAGGCCCCTGTATGACCACCAAGTAAACTTCTCGAAATATGAACTTCGGGTCGTAGCTCACTGCGCGCCTTAACCAGTTGAGTCAATGATCACCGTGGTCTGTCAGTTGAGGTGGTCGTCCACGTCACGTAGCTGCCAGTCCTGTCCCTGATCAGAAGACGGTGTTCGGTGGCCACAGAAACCGCTGCCCTAAACTACACCTACAGCTATCCTAGCACACGCACAGCAAATGGTAACTGAGTTCCTAGGCCGCGTGCACGTAAGGGAATCCGTCGAGATCTATTGCCAGATCGCTCGCGCGTGATCCCGGGGGCTCTTAGTACCGGGGTCTAGCTCCACTGCCCTCTCTTTGGGGACACGTCACGACGTTGCGGGCTGCTGATACCGACAATCCTACGGGGCTACAATACCCGTCTCTCTAACACACTCTTGGGAAACCCTCACACTCAAGGACTAACACTGCGATGACACTGGCTAACTGGCTAACTGGTTGTTGTACTCGTCTTCTGCGCGAAACGTATCAGACCGATACGCTCGTGGCTCTCTCTGGAAGCACTTGCCTGCTTCTCTGCTAATCTCGAACTGAGGCTATCCCTCTACTACCACATGCACTTGGTCTCCCGCTCCCTCATTCAAGCAACAGCGACTCCTCGCGAAGATCGCCATTCGCCGCACACTTGCCTTGAGTATACCGGGTCGTCTGGATCTTCAACCGGTTGCTCCTTTAAGGTGGCAGCTGCTCGAAGGTGGATGTTGACTTATCCACTTCACTGTCTTGTCCTCCTGTCCGTTGATCTCCGTCGCTCCTCGCCTGCCGTCCATGTCTGGATAAGATGAGCCATTAAGAGGATTTCATCCGCTTACTGAGCTATCGAAGAAAGCGGATAAAGACAAGTACGGCGTGGGGTATTTCCAACCAGACGACTGCGACAATGAGAACACGACGTGTGAATTCACGGCGTATCCCGAGTACGACAACCTCAAGGAAGCTTACAAGACCACCAAAAATTCGACTGTCGAAAGGGATTCATTCACCCCCACGAGGACGTCCGCCCTCAAGTGTCCATCCGCACTCTCAATGGACCTGCCAGAGACGCCCGACGGTAAGCTTTGATAATACAGTGATACTCTGTGGTTCTGCCAGCTAAGTATTGCTGTTGTGCTGTGTTGCAGTTGAAACTTTGTCGTGTTCCGTTGCTCAGCCAGTGTGTGGCGGCCAGAAGTCCAACGACTTTGACTCCGGTACACTGGCCGATCTCAACGAGGGCAAAACTGCGTCATCGTCGACTGCAGGTGGTTCCTCAACGTCTGCAACGGACAAAGATAGCGCTGGTAGTCACCTCACCAGTTGAAACGTTGGCGTTGCTTCTAACAGCGGCCCTAACACTGCAATTGATGTAAAAGCAATGGAATGGTCTTTTTTGAAAAATTTGGATTCTAAATCAATTTGTTGGTCATACATAAATTCTTTTGTCCGAAACAGATTTTCGTCTCACGCCTCTCAGATTGATACTGTCCAGTGACGGTGTTCACTTATAGTGAATTGTATATGTGTTGGCTGAAGCGCGTTTATCGAGAGCAGCAGCTCCAGAGCAGGAAACACTTGCTGCTGCGCTGGCACTTACAAGCATCACGTCGATGCCGGATGCCATTCTCTTTCCGCCTCACGAGTAGTTTTAGATAAACTCTCTGCATAGGAATCACGCAATGCAAACACTACAACCGGATCGCTTTAGTTTTTGTTTTGTGTCGGGCGGTCGGTGTGGTGCCTTATTTCGCTTCCGTACGAGTGAACGTTTAGCTCGCTCTCGAATAGAATGGTATTTTCTCTGATAATTTAAAAATACAAACCTCGATAAAAGACCGTTTAAAATATTTATCAATCGGTATTAAATTTTAGTTTAAAAAATCGACCGATCTTTAGTAAAAGCAGATGTATTTATACCGTAGATTGTCTAAAGTCGGCATTTTCGACGATTTAGGAGTGGGATGACAAAAATACACTACGCTGTAAGCATTTTTCAGTTGTTGACGTCACATTTGACGATATTTTTGCGAGAGTCGAACGAAAATTCTAGCCTAATAACATCCAGTTATTTTATCTACTTTCTGCATTTTACATGTTACTTACTATATAGTACTGTAGTACAGGTTAATGATAACAACGCTGATCAATCCTTTTGCCGTATTCTAAGCTACAGTAGCTACGGTATTTAGTCTCACTCATACTAATTTATGTGAGGTGCTGCAGACTCTGCTCACCTAAATTAGTATGAGTGTGGTTAATTATGCACTCTGACTATTTAAGGTGTGGTAGAATTAGTCACACTTAGACTAATTAATGTCTCACCCTAATTAGTCACACTAGTTTACGATTGTTGAGAAGCTGGTCTGGTTATTCTTTTGTTTTTTTTTGTGTTTGTTTGCCATATCCAATGGAACCGCTTGTCCAGCAAATTGATCTGGAAACTTCTTGATGATTACTTGAAGGTGGCTGAATAGCTGTTCAGCTCTCCATACACCATCAACATCCAGCGAGAGTCCGCATCGAATCATGGCTTTCCGAGCGTAGTTCACATTATTCTTGTCCCTTTGAGAGTTGACTTGGCGTACTGCTTTAGCAGCCAGGGACAGAAAAAAATGCTTTCCTGGATTCTTAAGTTTTCCTGACCAGGTTCCATCGGACCTCTTTTTGTTTTGCCATGCCTCCTCCTCAATCAACTCGATCTTTTTCTCATTCCACATTCGACGCCACTCGTCCTTTATCTTTGCGATAACGAATGAGTCCGCCGGCTGACAGAGATCCGTTGCGTTTGCTGGAAAGAAGGCTAAAGAAGCGTTTAACTTCTGAAGCTCTTCAGTACACTCGTCTTCCTCGAGGTGACTTGAGCAGTTATCTAGGAATATAGTCTTCTTGCGACCTAAACGATCCGGCTTTTGAGCTCGAGGCTCTTTCAGATACTCGAGAAAGAGACGTTTGTCCATCCAGCCCTTCGGCCCCGTACGATAACACACTCCTTCCACGTCATCCTTAGCTCCACGAATTGGATAACTACGGTCTGCGTTCGTAAAAATCATCATCGGGGGCAAGATACGTGCACTTGGCCCACCGCTGATTCGCACGACCATTGTCATTCCATCCCCTCCGGATACAACATCCGCATATTTGACCTGGGTTTCGCCTCCAAAACCGAGAGTCTTGCCGTTGTCAAAATCTACAACGAAATGAGTTTCATCGATGTTTCAATCGCATTCTCGTCATACAAACCGCTCTCAAACCCACGCTTCAACTTGCCAAGGTGATAGGCCACTTGCTTCTCAATATCTTCAACCTTCTGAGGGCTCACCAGTCGTTTACCTGTTGCCGCACGAAGTACTATGTTGTTGTTCTCCATAAAGGTTTGCACCCAGCGTGAAGTGATCTTTGTTAACAGCTCAGCCCCGTTCTCATCAGCCTTTGGAGCTTGAGGATCTTGGAGGATACGCTTAGCTACTTGACGTAGCAAGGATGCGTCGAACTTCAACCCCAATTTACGTAATCGATCAAACTCGCTTAGCAACAAAGGATATATCCAGAGCACCCACTTGCTCCGAGGACGACCTCGGCCGGACAAAGCCTTAGAGTTCACTCGCTTTCTTCTATCTGATCGTAAACTCGACAGTGACACAGAACCCCGGAGTGGCGCTTGAAGTTGCTCTCGATTCTTCCACCAGGCCATCGCTTTGCTAAGGTTAGCATTGCGAGTAGACGAGTTAAAAATATCAGGAAATTGATCTACAGCTCTCGCGAACATGTTCTTCGCTCCCTTTGCTTTTTCATATTCTTCCATCCAGGAGATGACACGGCGGCGATGCTGGATGGTGGTAACCTGTTGTGACGCTCGAGATGATGTTGACGTTGGCAACTCAGTCACGACCACATTAAAAATAGAGATTATGTCGTCTTCAGAGCTCTCTTCTGAGTCGTCATCGTTGGCATCATCCTTCGAAGAGATCGAATCTTTTGCTCCCTGTAGCGCGAAAGCTTTTATGATAGGAGGAGCTGATATAGCTTGAGGTTTGCCTGAATCACAGTCTGGACAGAGAACATGCTGTCCAAAGCCCTCTTGTCCGACAGGCTTCCCACAAAATGGGTGCATATGAACAGAGCAGATTGGGCAGACGTGAATAGGACCAACGAGGTCACCACAGCCACCACACGGGGAAAGTTGAGCTGAGTTGGAGCTCATTAAAAGACAGTTCTTAGAGGGAGAAGAGGCGTTGGTGTGTTGGAAGAATTTCTGGAATGAGAATAGACCACATTAGCCTCCAAAAGGCATTGGTGTGTTGGAAGAATTTCTGGAATGAGAATAGACCACATTAGCCTCCAAGAGACGCAGTCACATTAAAATAACATTTCCAATTATAAAATATCAAATACTCTTCAAATAAACTTAAGGAAACTGCGTAGCTATTATTCTATTAAAAGTATAATTCATATCCTTAAAAAACATAACCCGCTGCTTCGTAGTGAGCCGCGTTGAGGGTAAGTGGGAAACCCACTTTTATTAAATGACCTGTTATTGCATCACCAGTAAAACGCGAGCACCGTCCGTTGCTGCGGAGGGACTCGAACTCACGCCAGGGGTGTAAACCGGGTCAGTCTTTTCCACTGCGCCAATTCGAATGCCCAAAATAAGGTGATACTAATTATGAACTCAGACTAATTTTGAACACGACATTTTCTTGCTCACAGTAATTAGTCTCACATTCGAACGGTGTGACTAATTTCGAACTGTGACTATTTATTCACACAGACTAATTACCGTGGGCACTGTAGTGAAAAGACCGGGAAACAGGAACATGCGTTTATAGCATTTTAATTCGAGGTGCTTTGGAAGAATTATTGAAAGTGTAAGCAACATTTTGGACACCACGCGGTGTGGTTTTCGAAATGCTGATTAAGCTTTTAATAATCGTGGTCCTTGCCACCATGCTAGTTGATGAGTCTCCAAAGCTTTTATCTGTTAAACGAGGATCGGCAGAAGCTGCATGAAGTTTGCCTCAACTAAAAAAAAACACTCACTGACGCAATTTGTTTTCACACAATGTTTCTTTTTGCTGTTTGCTCTAATTTGATTAAACAACCGAACGAAAAGCTGCCCTGGCAAAGTGGCATTTTCGGCTTTTCCACTTGACAAAATGTTGCTTTTAAGGATGAAAAAAGTCAAAAGATGGCAGCGTTTTCGATGATTCATGCGGGTATTTTTGGTTTGTCATCTACGGTAAAGTACAAAGTCTATTTGTACTGAGATTCCTTTGGCAACGATACACTTCAAAAGAATAATTTACGCCGTAAAATCAATAATTAGATTTTCCCAATCACTGGCAGTAACCTAAACAGATTTCCAATAATTGCTTCTCGTCGGACTCAAAACTGCTCCTGCTGGAATAGCTTGATTCGGCCAACGTGGATCTTCTCAGTGTAGTTGCCTTCGTCGATCACCAAGATCCCCTCGCTGCGGACGCTTGCAATCGTGAAGGGGCCGTTTAAACCTGCTGCATGGTCGGTGTGTTGGAGGTTGTTCTTTTGGTCACCACGCGTCTCCAAGGATAAGAGCGCAAAGATAGAGTGAGATTAGATCCAACCGCTACCTACTGACTATCACTCCCATCGGTCACAGCAGCCGGCGTACAGCAGATCCCGGTCTGAATCCTCCCTCTTCAGCACTCCTCCTCGTCGGCGCTGTCAAATTGATAAGCCGCTCTTTATCAGCTCGAACTTCGTTCGTCCACAGCGCCGCGCTCGGCTCTCTCAATGCAAACCAACTTCAGTTCGTAACTCCATCAACCTCGGAGCTTCCATCGCCTTTGTCATCAAGTCCGTGGGCATGTGCCCAGTCTCGCGATTATCGGGTTTCAGCACGCCTTTCTTAGTGTATCACCCTACGAACTAATACTTACGTCAATATGTTCCGCCTTAGCCGAGGAGTTCTCGCCGTCGAGGTGTTTGAGCGCAGTCTGATTGTCACATCTCAGCGTCATCGGTTTCACGCATTCGATCTTCAGGTCCCCAAACAACTCGCGGACCCCCAGTAGCTCTGTCGCCATCCCCGATGCCGCCATGAACTCGGCCTCCATCACCGACAGCGATATGCCTCCTTGTTTCCGGCACATTCAGGTGATCGGCATCTCGTCCACCGTCACTAAGCCGCTCGCCACCGACTTTCGGTCTTCCTTGTCAGACGCTTAGTCCGCGTCCGTGTACGCGACCATTTCGAACGACTATTCGGTCCTTGCGACCCACCCATGCTGAGCGCCGGCGCATGCCGGGGCATCCGAAACCCCGACACACGCCAGAAGCAACTGCAGATAAGGTCTATTGACGGCAAGGAGCTGTACGTAGGGCTGGGATCCGCTTTTTTGTTTGTGTGTGTGGGGGGGGGCGGATGCTCGAGCGGCAGGTCGCTTTAAGTGAGTTAGCCTGTTAGTTCCCGTGTTCGGGGGATGTGAATGTGGACCTGTTGGGTCACTACCTCTCGGGAACAGTTGAGCGCTATTATAACAAGCAGGTCGAGACCTGGTGGAACCAGCTTCCTACGCTTCAGTACGTGACGGGGCGCATGCTTCAGACGTTCAAAACGAATATCACGCCGGACCAAGCCATAAAGCTCTTCGCAGCAGCGAAGGACGGCAAAGGCTCATGGCCAGAGCGCTTCATATACCTGGCGGCCGTCCCGGAAGCGACATGCGGCGGGACTATTTGGTCCTGAACAACATCGCGCAATATTCGTCAGATAGCTTGCGGACTGTGCTGATGGCCAAGGGTGATGGCACTCGCACGGACTATCTGCAGCAGGCAGAGACGCTAGCGCAGTTCGCGCAGTTCTGGGAGCTGGAGCCTGCGAGGTACAGGAACCTGGGGAGAGAAGCTGTGAATGCGGTGACCGAGCCACGCAGGGAGACCAGGAAGTGTCACGAGTGTGGTGAGGTGGGTCACCTGCGTGCGGCGTGCCCTGACGTGAGAAACGGCGACGAGAAGGAGCCGACATCATCTTGGCGTTGAATGGGTCGCTGAAAGCCCGAAGACATGTGAATATTGGACATCGGCTTCAGTCGTCACCTTGTCAACGATGTGTCGTGGCTGGACAACGTGCAGGACTGTATCGGCGAGTGCGTGCAGCTGAAAGGAGACCAGCTGACCTTCACAAAGAAAGGATCAGTGACTCTACGCGACACTGCGTGTGGGGCTGAGCAGACGGTGAAACTCACCGAGGTGTACTACTCTGTGGGCGTAGTGCACAATTTAATCCTGTACGGTCTGTTCGACTAGAAGAGCTACACGCTTGGTCGCATGAGCGGACGGCGCGGTGTGGTCGAACGTAGCAACGGTCGTGTAGCCTTCGATGTCCTGCTGAACGAAATGTACTAGTGGTGTCTGGTACTGTAGATCAGAGACGTGACCTACCGTTGGAAGTGATACTGACTGCACTGGACTGCGACTGAGGACGAAAGCGTGCAGTAGGGATTATTAGGGGAGTTCCACAGGAGGCTCGGACACCAAAACTACCACGCGGTGGAAAAACTGGCCAAGGACGTGAGTGCGGGTGATCGTGCTGACGGACCATAAGCGGGCTAACTGCTTGACCTGTGCGAGGGGGAATCAGACAAAGAACCGTCAGTCACAGAAGGACACAGGAGCATACTCACCGATAGACAGAGTGGGTAGATTCATCTGCTCGGACTTGAAGGGGCCTATGACTCCGCGGGACAGACTAAACAACAGATGCATAGTGAACTTCGCTGACCATAAAGCAATACAGCCGTGTCTGTTTAGCAAAGACCAAAAAATCGGCAGCCAAGCAGATCAAGCACTTCCTGACGCTCTTCGAGAAGAGGTTCGACTGCCGCATCCACGTCATGCGTACGAATTCGGGTGCTGAGTATCAGAACGTCGACATGTTCTGCAAGAGGACCGGCGTCGCTCGGCAGCGAAGCGAAGCACAAAAGCAGGCCTCCAACGGGAAGGCAGAGAAGACGCATAGAACCATTATGGATATCGCGCTGCTTGGACTTCGCGTGTGAGCTACCGCTTAGGTTTCGGGGAGATGTGGCTCAGTACGCTGCGTACTTACTGAACCTGGCCCAACGAGCTTAAACCCAGGGAGTAATCAGGGTGCTGACGAAGCAGACACTGCAAATTTTGTGCAATTGTCGTGTTTGGCTCGCCCTGCACAGTCTTCAGGGACCCTAGAAAGAAGAACTTTGCGGAGCGCGCACAGGGGGGCATGATCGTTGGGATCGGGGAGGAGACAAAGGGGTCCCGCGTGTATCTGCCCAAGGACAAGGTGATCATCACTACGCAGCACGCTAGAAACATTGAGACGTTGGACAAGGAACAGAACGAGAGCGTATAAACGCTATCCATGCAGAATGACGTGGTGGAGGCCGCTGAGACGACCGGGAGCTGCCAGTAAACAAACAACTAGCGCAGAGAGTGCAGCCACGGCCGCAAGCGATTCTGAAAGGGCAGTTGAGGCTGTAGCTGGCCGCGACCGAAAGCCGAAAAAGAGAAAGAAGAAGGTCTGGACCAGGGAGCGACACGTGATGCGCTCAGCTGGCAGGCGTGACGCTGTAGAGGCGGGCGAGCCCGCGCAACAGGGGAAGGTCGCCGGAGGCGTCGTGAACGATGTGCTGGAAGTGGATCCGAGGGGTTACCGGGAGGCAATGCGTAGCAGGCATAGCATGGTTGTATAAAAGCCATGGCTGAAGAGGTGAGTGCACTGGAAGCGAACGGGTGTGGGGGATTGTATGAATGTCCAAGGGAGTACATGTACTCCACACGAAGTGGGTGCATAAAACTGAGCGAGATGTGGAAGGCATCATCGAATGTCTAACGGCGCGACTCGTTTGCCTGCGGAAACGAGCAAAGATTCAACGTGAATACCTGCATCACCTTTGCGTTTGACCAGCGTCAAACTGATATTGGCACTGGCAAGGAAGTGGAGAGTCCTGGTGAAGCACGGTGACGTACCCAATGCCTACGTGAAGGCGGACAAAGTGGCCGAGCTGGACATCTTCATCCGCTTGCCGCAAGGAATGGTGACCCCGGAGGGGGTCAGAACGAAGCTCGGTGTCACGAGTGACGGAGAGCCGGTTCTGAAGATGAAGAAGTCCTTATTCGGCCTCAAACAGGCCGGTCGTCTATGGAGCAAGCTACTGCACAAGAAGTTGACGCAGATCGGTCTCGAGCAGTGTCTATTCGACATGTGCGTCTACGTTAGAAGATGAGGAGGCGTTATATTGGTCGTAGGCGTCTACGTAAACGATCGGTTGGTCACAGGGACTGAGCAAGACGCTGTGGATGCGTTCTTTAAGATTTTTTCCGTGCTGTTTGTGAAGGAACTTGGAGAAGCAAGCAAGTTTTTGGGAATGAGGGTGAGCTACTTCGAGGCCGAGGGCTACGACCTGGACCAGGAATGACGATCGTCGACACGTTGAAGGGGCACGGCATGGAGCGTGTGCACGGCGTACGCACGCCAATTGGAGCGGAGTGGAACGAGTTGCAAGCATCTGAAGGTGAGTGCTGCCTGCCTTAGGAGGAGACGGTGTGGTGACGGTGAAGAAGTTCCAGTCTCTAGTTGGTAGTCTGATGTGGATCACACGGCGCACGCGGCAGGACGTGGCCTTTGCCGTGCACAAGGTCTCTCCTCGCACGCATAAACCAACCGTCGTTGACTGGAAGTTAGCGAAAAGGATCGCGCGGTATTTGGCCGACACGAAGGAGCTACGGCCGGAAACATCCCGGCACCAGCCTGTGGTTGGGCAGCTTGTGCTTTTTGGGTCGCTGTATAGAGACGTTGCAGATGAGACATTGGCTTCCCATATCCAGGCTGCTGTCGTTGCGCTTGCTGACTGAAGTACTGTGTGATGGCAGCCGGTCGGCGTGATCGTGAGTGGCGTCTGTGGCGAATCCCCCAGGAAGTCGATGTGCATTGGGTTGCCACGTCCAAGTCCCGAGTCAAACAAACTGGCGCTCATGTTGGCTGGTTGGCGTTGCGCGCGCGCTTTGCCTCGTAGACCTCAAGCTTCTTCTCGAGTTTCATCTGCGACTTCTCGAGCCGTTCTTCCTGCTGCGTTGCCCTCAGCGTCCTTTTGATGTCCGCCGGGGTTGTTGTCGTCGCCCCTTTCATGGATAACGGCAGTGCTCTTTACTTCGGCGTCGCTCGCCATACCGGTCCGTGCGTCACCAGCAACGGGTGTTGGTGTTGGCGCTGACGCTGACGCACCGTCACGAGCAGCTTCGTCAATGGCTGTGTTCATTGGGCTCAAAACCTGTCGGAAGTTGGATTCTGGTCAGCCGCACCACGCGCCTCCGATGGTAAGAACGCAAAGGATAGAGTGAGATCCTTCCACTGACAACCGCTGACTACTAACTATCACTCCAACAGGTCGCAGCTGCCGGCGAACAGATCCTGGTCTGGATCCTCCCTCTTTAACAGTGCACGCTGGTAACCCCGCGCGATCATCACCTTCCTTTCTGGGTCAAATTCGTATTCAGTGGGTTTCCACCTCGGCCGTCGGTATATGCTGTCGATTTTCCACCCTCGTGATCGCTCTAGCTTTCATTCCTTCTTACTTGAGGAACTTTTCTTCAATGGCTTATGCTGAGCACCGGAAAATCGCTTAGCTAGTTAATTCATTGAAGTCCTCGTTGATGCCATTGTTCTGGTAGACGCGCCAGTAGGCGAGCGAGCGCATCCATGAATTTTACATATTTATGTTTGGCAAAGCAATCCTTTCTTCAAGCTCCATGGAAACGGTATACCCTCGAAGTTAAGCTTTGTGATATTATCTCAGAGCTTGTCTTCGTCGTCTGAATCATCGGCGTATTTTTGCTTTTACATTCGTTAGACATTCGTTGTCCTCGCGCTCTATCCGCCATCTCCAGCGTCACCTGCTTGATTGTATGGTCCATCACGCGCTGCTCCAGGAGCAGGGTCTATCGTAAATTATCTGTGCCCCTTACCCGAAAATATAATTTATATCAATTTCAAAGAAAATCGAGAAATACATAACGTGCGGCAACCTAAGAGCTCAGCAAATAAATAATTGGAGCGGGGGCATTGCAATCGTAGATTATTAGTAAAATAAACTACCAAGCCTGGGTGAAGCCGCCTAAATGCAAGCATCCACGGTGGTGAAAGAAGAGAGTTGGTTTTGTTGGGGTGTTCCTGGGAAGTTGCAGAATGAGCTAGAATATAGGGGCCCCAAACCAACCACAAACTGTTGGTTGTTGCTGTCCGCAAAACTAAATTTTGGGTCGGGGTACACCAACTTCGTAAATACATATCTTGCTGAAGCATTTTTCGTAAATAAATTATTGAGAGAAACAGTAAGCAGTAATTGGCAATAAATATATTTATCGGGTTCTCAAAAATTAAAGGTCGCTTCGAAATCTTTCTAGATTAGCGAACACTTTTAGACAATTATTCATGAGAGTGTGTCGTGCGCCCAACTCGGGCGAATAAAAGAGACGCTCGGTTTTTCACCTACCCCGCAATTTATCCGGCCATAGTATAGCGTATACTCCGGTGTGTACCCGCCACCCCGCCACTCATTTCCCTCAAAAAGGGGGGCAAAATGCCGGAAGATCGTCGGGTGAAGACTGCGGTGAGACGTCCCCAGCGCCGCAACTTGTGTGTCGAGACCGACGCCGACGCTTACGAGGCGTCTGCTGTGTCAACGGGAGCGCTCAGCGACGAGGAATGGGTGGATTCCGCTACGGATACTGGCAGCAACACGAGCGGTCAGTCCAAGCAGGGCCGATCTGGGGGGATGGATCATCCACGCCGCCTTCAAGACGACAATGAAGACACCCGAGGACTGGAGGTGCTCGTTGCCCCGTTAAAGCGTTTTGAGTTTGACTCATGGGAGGATTTAGAGAGCTACTTGGCTGAGTACACCAAGGGGACACACCATGTACAATAGTGCTATACTTTCTATTCATTAGGCATTTCTTACCTGACTGTTGTACTTTGTTGAATCCGTAGAGCTTCCGTATCCGCACGAAGAACACAGCGACTGCACGCAATGCCAAGATTCGCTCAACGGGGTCAAAGAAGCCGTTGTTGCCGGACGAGTGGGTGAGCTACGGCAAGACCTACATATGTACACACTCAGGGACGTACAAGTCGAGGGGGAAGGGGAAGAGGAAGCGTCTGCAGTCGCGGGCTACGGAGGGTGAGGCGCAGGTACGCTTGCACCTCAGCTGGTCTTAGTTGGGTTCAGTTGGGCTTGGTTGGGCAATAGCACCACGAGTTGGGGGTGAGTTGGGTCGAGTTGGGACTAACTGTGTACGTGGTTCTGTGATTTCTTACTGCAGATCAATGCGTGTGTCCAAGTTGACGACGCTAAGGTCCCGACATTCATCTCGAGAATCACTTCCTCACGATTAGTGCACAACCACCCTGTGATCAAGCTGACGTACAACCAGTATCCACACGTGCGAACCGCGTTGGCGTCGGATCTTGTGGGTACAGCGAATGAGCTTCGGAAGGCCGGAGCAAAGAAGAAGCGTATTCTGAAGTACATTCACGACAACACTTACCTTAACCCGTCAGCGCAAGACGTGTCTAATCTGATCCGAAGATTGAAAGCCAAAGCGAGCACGGCCTTGACCAGCGCCACACGGCTGAAGAAATGGATGAAGGAGTTCGTAGAGGAGTCTAGTAATGTTGGGAGGATCTTTGTGGATTCAGTGGGAGAAATGGTATGAATTCGCATGTTTGCTACGCCATGTTTTGCTACGTTCTAACGTTTTACATGTCGTAGACGGTTGCAACTTGCATTACATTGCAGAGTTGACATATGCGTGAGCTCTTTGACCGGTTTCCCGAGGTCTTGATGATTGACGCCACCCATGGCACCAATGCGTCCAAGTATAAGGTTTTCTCACTTATGGCACATGACGCCTTTGGGAAAGGACAGCTCGTTCATCACGCAGTCATTCAAAACGAGCGTCGTCCGACTCTAATGACGGCATTGGAGGAGTTCAAGCGTAAAAACCCAAGTTGGACCAAGATCAAGTGCGTCTTAATCGGCAAAGATTTCACGGAGATGTCAGTACTCAAGATGGCATTTCCGGGTGCCATTCTATTACTCTGTCAGTTTCATGTCTTGAAATATTTACGGGAAGAGATAGCAAGCGCAGACTACAGATTCACGACTTGGCAGAAGCACCAGTTGAATGGGGTCGTGAACTTGTTGGTGTACGCGCAGAATGAGCAGAAATACCTGAAGTATCGTAAGCACATGAGGCGCATCATGGCTATGGGACGCGGTGACGAAGCTCTCCGATCAGGACTGGGAACTCGTTCGACTGGGTTGGGCACTTGTAGTTACGAGTTGGGTGAAGTTGGTACTGGGTTGAGAACTGGAATTCATTTGGGCGTGGGTACTGGAGAAATGGGGGATACAGCTGAGGACGACAACTCTTGGACAAGAAGACACTGCAATGCCTTCGCTACCGGTACCTTCGTAAGAGTATGGAAGAATAAACGAGAGATAGTTTATTGGATCAATTGGCTCAATACATAAGTTCATCCTAAGTGCGTGTCTGTTGTCATAAGAATCTTCTTCAAAGACAAACTTGGGTAGATTATGCAAGTTATTTTGATTGACTGAGTCCTGCAGGGAGATCTCACACCACACATCATGCAGACTATAAACTGCAGAAAAGTAACGATTTTTGACATCCGGATATACGTCTTATGCGTATAGTTTCCGAACTGGCTTCTTTCAAATGGGCACCCAACTGGGCTCCGTAAGGGCACGGTATGGGCACAGATGGTTGCAGGAGGCTCGTCTCAGATTTTTGAGTTGGGCGCAGGTCATTCATCGGCCCTTTTCTCAGACTTATCTAACTGACAGTTAGCCAACCATCACTCAATTATCAATGCAGGACGCAATTCACGCCATATATTAGTCGTTAAAAATGAATTGAAAAGGAAAAACAAAACAGCAAAAGACAGCTCAACTGTCTAGGGAAAATTGGACTCCATCTCCCCGTTGCTAAGAGGAGCTTCACGACGTTCACCGAAGACGTAGTGGCCCGCCACATAGCCGGCAACCACCCACAGCAGCAGCGTAAAGTCGTACGTCATGGACACCAGCATGAGCATGTAGGCCACAAAGAGCGTGACGCCGTGCAACAAACTGTGCACACCATGTTGCGTCTCTGGAGACAGTGTACGGAACCACGTGGGCCCACAAGAGTCAGCTAATGGCATACCTTGAGCCGTCGATCGCAGTAGTTGCGCACTCTCCGTCGCTTGTGGCGCGTTGCTGCTCATCAATCGCTTCACGCTGCTCTCCTTACGCAACACGCGGCGCAACTGCAACAGATACTCGTTGAAAACCGCCACTAGTGCCACTAGGATGCCCCCAAAAATGTAGCGCATACGCGAATCTAAGACCCACCCAGGGAACCACAGCAAGATGCACGGCGTGGAGGTGCCAGTGAGCGAGAAACCGTTCAGCATGGTCGTGCCAGGTCCAGAGCAGAATCCGCGCTCTTCTTGCGCAGTATTTCCCTCCGTGGGGGCTTGGAACGACAAAATATCCTCGAACACTTCCCGTGCATGTGTCATACTGCACGTATGGACCGCCTGGTCCCCATGCTTCATCACTACTTCCGGTCCACCGAAGACAGACGACGCCATGCCACACACCGGACAGAGAACGCTCTTCTCTTCCTCGTCGTCGTGGTGCGTGGACGGAGCAGACGCTACATGGACACCTTTTAGGCCCATTTGCTGCAATGGGAATGGCGTCGTTAGTCTCCGCTGGAAAGCTACAAAGACTGATAATGTCGTACCGGGTCTTTTAGAAAAGCGTCAAACGTGTCTTGAGCGGCGAAGCGCAGTCGCTGACCGTTATTAAGCTCCACGTTGTACGCTTTACTCATTACCATCTCGCCGCTAACAGGATCGTCCTGAACAATGAAATTCGTGAGCTGCGGGGAGATACAAAAGTGGTGGAGGACGGAGCATAGTACCGGCATATCGTCCATGTCCATGGCATTGGCGACGTTGGAGAGAGCGAACAGCGTCGCGCACAGCACGAGAAGCGCTTGGATGCGGGGGCTCACGCTGGTCATGGGTACGTGAGAGACAGCAGGCGCGTCTGGTACTGGCAGAGAAAGTCTTGAGGTTGCCGTTCACGTACTGACGTGGTGAATGTAATCCCGTCTAAATCGATGATTGTTAGCGACTGGTTTACCTGTAATATTGTATAAACGTACTAAAAATGAGATTGTGTGATTTCGCGTACTACCGAAATGTACTTGTGAAAACGAATCCACTGTATCTTGGCGGGCTGAGCACTATTAATACACAGGTCACTAGTCAGCCATACACCACCAGCACCCCTCACGAGGGCACTGTTGGACCAAAAGTGCTGGTCGCTGTCGACGCAGGGCAAAATGTGCAGTTTTGCCAGGAACAGTAGGCTGCTGTCCGGCTTGATAAGGCGACGTTTTCAATCAACAATATATTGTTGAAAAGACAGCAAGTGGACTAAAACTAAAAATGTGAACCAATTTGATACACCCAAAAGCCAAAGTCTGAGTCAGAGTTGCAATTCAGAAACATCGACAACAGTGATGGAGCGCGGCGACTTCTGTATGGGACCAGGCTCGCTCATGGGCACGGCTGGGTTCAAATGGGCAGGACGTGACCCGATGGACGACTGCTCTATGCTGTGGCTCGAAGGCTGGGGACTGACAAGCTTTTCACGCGCCGTTCTGGCGTGTCTGTTCGTCTTCCTGCTTGCCGCGTTGTCCCAGTACTTGACGACGGCGAACGGCTGCCAGCTGCAGCAGTCGAAGGACTTCGCCAAGCGCCGCCTCGCCGCAGCCTTGGCGCAGAGAAGCAGAGGCTCGAGCTTCTACGATCCAGAGCTTGGAACTGGCTGCGATAAGAGCAGCAAGACATGCAAACACGCCCAAGCGGCGGAAGAGTCGGCAGTGCATCCTGAGAGACCGGAGCTACTGCAGGCTCTGGAGGCCAAGGCCGTGACGCGGTCAACGACAGAGCGCGCGCACCCAACGTCAGCCTCGTTGACGTTGAGGTGGACACCGACAACGTCCGTGAAGGTCGGCAACTGGGCGCACCTGTGTGACTCGCTGATGCGCGGCGTAAGGATTCTGCTCGCGTACCTGCTCATGCTGGTAGTCATGACTTACGACCTGACGCTCATTTCCAGTATCGTTGTGGGCTTCGTGGTCAGTTTCTTCGTGTTCGGCAAAGACACGGCCAAGGTGCCCGTGTCGGCCGACCCGTGTTGCTCTTAAGTGGCAAAGTCGACAATGGTGTCTGGCAATCTCCATATTGCACGTTTCTAAGATATTTCTATCGTAATTTACTTGTCTTCGTGATGAAAAAAAAAAGAGTTCGTGTATTATGCGTGAGTAGATGACCGCGAAAGCAAGTCATCCTTCTGTCCGCAGAAGCCATTGACAACTGGACCCAACGCACACTGGCCTCCACCCTCTTACTGCTTCTTGGCCGCGCTGGCGTCGAAGTCCTTAGGGAGGATGCCATCACTGATGCCACGTGCCACAATGTCCTTGAACAGTGCGGCTGCGTTCGGGATGTCGAGCGCGACGTCGTCCAGTACGAATTTGAAGCGCTCGAAGCCCTTCACCAACTGACCCGTTGACACCACCTCGTTGGAGACCAGATAGGCCAATAGCGACGCCATAGCCGCACTGTTGGCCTCTCCGCCTTCTTCAAGCGAATTCGTGATGCCGCGCTTGACCACTTCGTGATGGAAGTGCGGCACGTTCAGCTCGCGAACACAACGCGCAGCTTCCTCAAGATCACGCGACAGCAAATACTCCTTGGTAAGCTGGTCAATAGCCACCTTGAGTTCCTCAACGGGGCGACCATCACCAGGTCCCCAGGCCTTCTCCATTCGTGCTGTAGCGTGGTTGATACTCAGCTTCTTAATCGCCTCCCCCGCGATCTCGGGGGCGTATCGCGTGATGAACGGATCCTCCAGGAAGCTGGGAGGCAGGATCTCGTCCACTACGGCACGAGCGCAGAAGATGGCCAGCATATTTTTGGCCGTGGGGATGTCGATCTGCAAGTCTCCAGCCAGTAGCAGCACACGACGGAAGCCCATAAGCACCTGTCCAGCCGTAAGTCCGTCCAGGTACAGCGTCGAGAGCAGACGCGACGCCAGCTCGCGCTCCTTGTCGTTCTTGTCCATAGCCATGGTGATCGCACGCTTGACCACTTCGTAGTTGAACTCGGGCTCGTCCAGGTCATTGAGTGAGCTCAGCACTTCGTCGGCGTCTCCACTGGTGAAATATTCCTCCAGGATCTCGATGATGCGCTTTTTAATCTCCGGTGGCGGGTTCAATGCCAGTTCCTTTGCCGCTAGCTCATCAGGCTCCAACGTCGTCGTCGTCTTTGTGGGTGAGCCGGCCACTGTCGACACGAGCACCACGTTCTCCTCCGCTTCACTGTCGTAGTTAGGGTCGTGCGCATCCGTAGGCACGGCCCTCGGGATCTCCGTCACATTCCAGGATGCCTTCTGGCCGCCGCCCATGCGCTTGCCTGCATCACGCGACTTGCTGCGCTCCTTACGGGGTGGCAACGGCTTGTCACCACCGCTGCCAGAGCCACCACTACAACTGCTCGAGGTAGTGGGGACTGGGGATGGTTGCGCCAGAACTTCCTCCATGGCAGTCACGGGCTCTACATTAAAAAATTATAAATAGATTAGAAATGGTGAAAGGAATTGTCAGGACTGACGTGTCGTCTTCACCTTCGGGAGCGGCCGACATGGCGAAGGGAAAGTGAAGGAGAGAGGGGAGAGGAGAGGACGAGTGGAAGGGAGAGAAGACGACGACAGATAGTTGGCTGGCGTCGGGCTGCTCTGCTTCCGGGTGTCCTTTGCTGTTTGCTTGGTTTGCTTCTTGAGCTTTTGGATACTGTCCCCCTTTTGGCGGCGACAAAAATAGTGTTGACTTTGTCTTTGTAAGAGGTCACTTCAATAGTCACTGTACTCACTCGAGACAGTGACTTTGTGGACGGCAACATACACCAAGATGCGACACGATGTCTTTGCATGCAACTTGCTGTTTTGCCAGAGGAATTTTGCTCACTCGTTGGCTCGATTGATGACGAGCTGATGGAATGTTTTTTGGTTGCACGAGGCTGATTGCAGAACCGCTGTCGTTGTCATTCAATACTGGTGGTGTTTGGCTTTGGTAAAATTGGCTTTTTGTTTGGCATGTCATTCTCCCCATGATTCCGCTCTGTATTTCTCCCCCGCAACGCTGTCATTTGCTTCGACGGTCACGCGGTAGTACCGAGCGGCCCGCTTTCACGTAAAAAAAAACACTCAACGCACACACCAACACGCACACACAACACGCACGAGACGCAACATGCAACGAACATCTAGCTCCTCTCTCCTCTTTTCGTCGGTCTGGTCCCTTAGATCGCTCGTATGTGTAGTGCGCGCCCGATGCAGTATAGCGGGAATCAGGACATGTAGAACGTCGAACGGTCTACTTCCGGCAATGATTCCTTGCAGCCGTGGCAGCTCGCAGCAAACGAATCATTTGCTGTAAAGCAACTGGAAAAAAGGTAGCAACAAACACGAAGTTAGAGCAACGCTACAGGGAGAGCTGAACGTCCACAGTTAACGACTCACAGCGAACACAGCCAGGATTCAGCTCCAATCTTGATGTTGCTAGGCCCATACACACGCGTCCGCCCGCACTTGTCACACTTGGCATTCCAAATGCTCACATCCGCGCGGCATTTAGTCCCCGTACACTTCCACGTATCACGTGCCGTTTGAAACTGCACTGTGAGAATGCGCTGCGTACGGACATCCATTCGTCGCACGCGAATCATCGAGTTCTTGACATTTTTCGCTGTCCAAACAGGCAATCCGTTCTACACGTGAGTTCATGCAACCGACAGGAAAAGGACAAGAAACAGCTTACAGTTGAGTTCCTCCACTGCTTCGAGCGCCCCCCTCTCCGTGTCAAACGTCACACAAGCATCGCCACGACCCAAATGAGTCCGCTGGCAGGAAAAAATGTCAATTGCAGGAAATCCAGTCTCCCTGTCCACCTGCAGTCCAAAGTCAGTCAGACACACGCCCACTCAACGACAGCAGAGCTCACTCACCGCAACACCAAAGCGCGCAAAGTCCTCCCCGATCTGCTCGGCAACCACTGTCGGGTTTACACCCGTCACATACACCTGCCTTGCCATCAGAGCTTCATCCGCGGATATGCTGTCCAGGTCGAAACGAATATCTTCAGCTTCCTTTAGCATAGCATTTCCATCATCGTCCGAATCCGAGATGAACATATTGTCGCCATCGTCATCAAACGAGGTCAAGGCACCTGGTAACGGAGATGATTCAGTGGAGTGAGAAGTCTTCTGCTTCTTCGCGGGTCGATCAGTATCTCCGATTTTACCGTTCTGGCAAACCTCATCCAACTCTGCCCGATCAGTCGCCTCTTTCTTCTTGCTGGAGTCACGGAGATCTGGAGAGCGCGATCGCCGAGTCCCATTAGTCTGGCGGTCCCGATCGCGGCTGGTTGAAGCCGACCTGTGATGATCACGTTCAGTCGATTTCTCTCGTGACCAAGACCTCGAGCGTGAACGGCGGCGATGCCGACTGCTGTAATCCCGACTTCGAGGACTGGAAGAGCGAGACCTGGAGCGAGATGACCCTCGACGCCTACGATCGTCACGCCAGTCGTAGCGATCACGGTCTCTAGAATGAGGTGACGGTGATCGCTTTCTCCGACGACCATCATCGCGTCGATAGCTGCTGTGCTCTCGGCCACGTCGTCTACGCGACGGTGAGTCATACTTGTCCGACTTTGCTGACTGTGAACCTTGAGGTCCATAGTAGCTCGATCCAGAAGTTTTCTTCGCTGATCCCGAGTTCTTCTTGCGACGCTTGTTGTGCGCCTTCCCTGCATGCTTCGAATCATTGCTACTTCTTTTTGACGTAGTTGCATCCGGTGTAGACTTGTCCACCTGAGGTGCTTGTTTTTTCTTCTTTGGAATGGGAACCTTGTCCCAATCTGTGTCCTGCAGCCGGCTCTTAACCATAGGGGTGCCATTTCGTGCTGCTTCCTCCTGCATTTTCTTAAAGCGACTGGGACGTTTGTAGCCGGCCCCATCGCGAATATCGCTTACACTCTCTTGGCCGTCCACGTGTAGTGCGTCATAAATACTTATTTGAGGCTCCCGCCTGTATCCGCCTTTACCGTTCCCTTGTGAATGCTGTTCTTTTAAAAAAAATTGTGTTGCCGACGAGCTCGAATTGAGCCCTCCCCCGCCAAACCGAGACTTTGGAGCAATTCGGGGCGTCTCCGCTGCATACGTGGGAGCATCCTCTATCTTCTTAATCCCTGCGTACGAAAGATATCTAGCTTGGGGCTTATCTTCCGATTTGTTGGCCATTTCCTTTGCTAGAATAGTCAGCGGTACGTCGTCAAGGTCCTGTGCGACGTTGTTGTTGGGCCCTTTGGTCGGCACCATTGTGAATTGGCTTTTCGGCAGGCGCTTGGCTCCGGGGGCATCCTCAGGATTCAACAGCTTAGTGCTTCGCCTTGTCACCGCATATTTGCCTTTCATCGTAGTTGTCGTAGCGACAGGCGTTTTGAAAGATGTCGGACGAAGTCCATTGGAGCCAGCCGTAGACTTTGTAGCCATGTCGGAGGGCTTCTTTTGGTCATCTGTAGCTTTTTTAGCATCCGGGCCTCCCTTCTTCGAGTGAGTTTCAGCGTAGGTGTGCACTGGCAACGGCTTCGGGGCAGTAGAAGTCGTGGATTTGGTCTTGGGTTTCAGCTTCAGCGGCGTGAAATCGAAGAACTGCTGCACTCCAGCTCTCGAAGCGTCTATCTCAGCATTTTTGTCTTCAGTTGCTGCATTTCTCTTTAAATCACTGTCACCACTGCTTTCAGATGATGACTTTCCCTTGGATGCCATGTTGCGTGTGGCACCATTCTGTGCACCCGTCTTTTTCTTCTCGTTGCTCGCAGGTTTATCTCCAGAGTCACTGTCATCGCTGTAGTCAAGTCCGAGGTCGTCCGTATCTGGCTCGTCGTCATCCAATATTTCCGTCTCGGCTTCTGAAACATCGTTATCTTCCGGTCCTGCACGGGACTGCGCCTCAGCAGGAGCTTTCGCTGCCTTCTTCTGCTCCTCGCCTGTTATTGCTTCTGGGCCCTCGGGCTCTACATCAGCACTACTATCAGCCATCACTTCCGTCGCAGTATTATCTTCTCGATAAACATCTTTCTCAATCTCAACCGACAAATCCTCTCCCTCGAAATCAACAGTCCCCGTGTCCGAAGGATCAGAGTCGTCATCATTGTAACCAGAAATGTGCTCCGCAGTATCCGTAATACGTGTCGAGTCATATCGCGCATCGCTTTCCCGTGGTCGTCCAACATCCACCGCTTCGGAGGAAACTAATCCCAAAGAAATACTGCCATCTGCAGACTTATCCGCTGTGCCAGTAGCTGTAGAACCAGCATGTACAGGGTCGTTTACCTGATGAGCTTCTTCCAGTACTCGATCTTGAGGACTCTTAAAGTTTTTAAATATCTTCAATCGCAAGATTGTCGACTCTCTCGCACCGTGATTGCTCTTCGTATGCTCCCCAATTGCAAGTGGAATACTGCTCTTACCGCTATCCCCTGTCTCATCTCCACCGGACAAAAGCTCGATCGGGTGATTCGACTTCCCGTCGTCAAAATCTTCTATCAGTGCAGTTTCGGTCGCAGCTAGCACGTGACCACGTTCGCTCTCTGCAGGGCTACTTAATGGGCGTGCTTCCAGCACGTCGACTGGCGAAGGTTTTGAGCTCTTCTGCGTCACTTTTCGAGTGACGGCAGGTTTCCGCGAATGAGTCGTTTTCTTCTTCGTCGCAGTCTCCGCCTGACGCAGTCGCTTCCTCTTTCGCTTCGCAGGTTGTTTGTCCTCGTCACTATCCAGGTAATCGTCGCTGAGTAGATCCACCACATCGGGCTCGTCTGGTTCCGGGATCTCTTCATCTTCCGCTGGTGAATAGTCACTGCTCATGTCGCTTTCGCTTTCGCTGTCACTCTCACGTGTAATTGTCTTAACCTGCAACAAAACCTGCCTTTGTTCCTCCTCCGAAGTCACACCGTAGCGGTGCGTATTCTTCCGTTTCCTGCGCATATTCTCCTTGCGTCGAATCACCTCCGGGTCGCGGTATCCTGTTACCCAACTCAGCATTTCAGCAGTGACATCATCCTCCGGCTTCCTCGCTGCGGTAGCAGGCGCAGCAGCTACCTTCTTTTTGTGTGGATCTTGTGGACTTTTGGACGACACGTGCTGCATATACTTATCCTTACCAACCTGCACTTGGATTCCATTACTCCCCGGCTTATTGTTCCGTCCGAAATTCTTCAATAAATGGGGCGGCGTGCTCTCCTCCGTTTTCGTCTCTTCAGTATCAGATTGATGCACTTGCACATGCAGCTCTTGCATCAACGCGTTGACCGTCGAATCACTCCCTAGCGTTGCGCTAGCAGTCACGCTCGCCGTCGTTGAAGTCGCCAGGGCCTTTGGATCCAATTGCGACATCGGCACAGCCTTGGTCTTAGGCTTCAGTTTAGGCGACACTAAGTTATTTGGCATCTCCAGAGGCTTCATGATGTCTCCAGCACCCGACACGGTATCAACGGGAGACACGAAGGTAGCTGCCTTGGCCGCTTCAGCCTGCAGCAGCGCACTCATGTCTGCCGCATCCACGTCGCCCAGGAAGTCCAGAGCTCCGTCATCCTCGTCCTCACTAGCTGTCACTTCACTCTGTAGCGAGAGCTGATGGTCTTTGAAGCCAATGTGCGCCTTCACACGCTGAAAGAGCAGATCGCGCTCCTGCTGCTTGTCCCTGCGAGTGGCCGCGAGCCATTGGCGTGCACGCAGCAGCTCGCTGTCCCAGAGAGCGGCAGCGCTGTCGCCCATGGAGCAATCCTCGATCCGCAGCGTACAAGTTTCCGTTGACGTCGAGTGCGCGTGCGAGTGCGGAATAAAGAGTGAAGGTCGCGAAGATGCCTCGGGTGCGCACTCCACCGTTGCCCTTCACCTGCGCTTTTGATGCGGCTGATTCCCGTTGAAAATAATCTTGGCGATTGTAAGGGCAAAAGCAGCTCGTCGGTGATTGGCTACTATGTTGTAGCTCGAAGTTGTGTGCACCACACAAGCACTGAGACGGCCAATCACGCGCAGAATTATCAAATGGCAGAGCAACAACTGACGGACATGGTGAAGCTGCGTGGCTACGACTTCTACCGCGCTATCGGCTCGCCCAAACGCATTGTGGCACCCATGGTGAGATTTATCATACATTTTTTATTCTTATTCAAGGTGGAACAGGTCGAATACTTTGCGAAGTGCCGTCGCAATAGGCTGTACGTGTTCATTGACACAGTATGGATGATTTCTTTTTGTTGCAGGTAGACCAGTCAGAGCTGGCCTTCCGCATGCTTTGCCGTAAGCTCGGTGCCGACTGCTGCTACACTCCCATGCTCCATAGCCGTCTGTTTGCCGAGAGCGCGGAGTACCGCGAGAAGATGTTCGAGCACCACATCCAAGACAGGCCACTGGTCGTACAGGTCCGCTGCCTTCTTCTATCGGGCTTTACGAAGATGTGGGCATCTGCGATTGACAATATATGTATGTTGCTGTATGCCAGTTCTGCGGCAATGACCCGAAGACAGTGTTGGCAGCGGCCAAGATGGTGGAGGGCCATTGCGACGCGGTGGACTTGAACTTGGGCTGTCCACAGGGCATCGCTCGAAAGGGCCACTACGGATCCTTCTTGATGCACGACAAGGAAACAGTCAAAGCCACTGTGAAGACACTGAGTGCCGGACTGAACATCCCGGTTACTGTCAAGATCCGCGTGTTTCCGGACGACAACGAGACGCTGGAGTTCGCAGACATGTTGCAGGAGGCTGGATGTGATCTGCTGACGGTGCACGGTCGTACAAAAGAAATGAACAAGACTGCGGTGCGCGAGGTAAACTGGGACATTATCCGTCGCATTAAGGAACGGCTGACGATCCCAGTGATTGCGAACGGAGGCATTGAGACACACGAGGACATTGCTCGCTGTCTGGAGGCCACGGGCTGTGACGGCGTCATGAGCTCCGAAGGGCTACTGGAGAACCCGGCGCTGTTCGCTGACACGAACAACACACCAGGCGAAGATACATCTTTCCTGGAGCTAGCCAGACAATACCTCGAATGCGCGACACTGTACCCACCTGCAAGCGACAAGATCGTGCGTGCACACTTATTCAAGATCCTGTTCCAGGACCTGCGTGTCCACTCGGACTTGCGCGACGCACTAGCAGCCGCCAAGTCGCAACAAGAAATGGTGGAGATTGTCGACGAACTGGCCGTGCGATTGAAGGAAGCGGAAAGCGAAAACGCCGGACCCGAGATAAAGAAAGTGGCGTATGCAGCCAAGGCGAGCTGGTACCGTCGCCACCGACAGGGACAGGAGAAGCTCCGACGTCGTGACTCGTACGAGAAATGCCTTGACACAGGCTTCGGCAATCTGTTCGCATAGTTCCTACGCAACATCGCTAACAGATAGAGTCTATTGATCCTTTGGGGTTACTTGTTGTCTATGGCGTCTCACGGTTGCCCCATCGTTATGCTACCGAGTTGAGCCCCATACCCCAGCCCAGCTTGGCACGTTTTTCTCGAGGAGGTAAACTATCATCCGTCGGCCGTGAGGGGGAAGATCCAGCAGCGGCTGTGAAACTCGCCGGCAACGGGACGTACTCGCTGACGTCCTGCATCTCTGCGTCCTCGGCATCTGCCTGCTTGACTTCTCGACGTGAAGTCGACAACGACCTGGATTTCCGCTTGTCGCTTCGGGACTTGTGTCGGTCATGTTGACTCGGTTTCTCCCCTACTCCATCCTGTGTCGATGATGCTGATCGCTTGTGCCGATGCTGTTCACTGCTTTGTTTGTGGTGATGAGACGATCGCGATGACGTAGTGCGACTGCCAGCACTGCGGTGTTTCTTGACTTTCGCCTTTAGTAAATGCTGCACGAGCTTCTTCTTCTGCACCGGGAAAGTCGAGGGCAAGTCACCAAAGTCGAACGCTCTCTCGCTGCCACGAACGCTGTCAAAGTAGCGCATCTCAAGGAGCCTCTTAGCCGTGCTGCGTTTCGCAGGATCCAACTGCAGCATCGCTTCCAACACCTCGACGGCATCTTCCGGGAAGTCTGGGAACTTGGATCGCTGCTCCAGTAGAGTCTTTCGCAGACGCATCTTGTACTCGTGTTTGGGCCGGAACGAGTTGTACAGCGGGAGTTTATGTGCGCCGTCCCACGACATGCTGGGCGTGCCGCACAAGCGATAGATGAGATCCAGCTGCACCTTGACGTCTTGTCCTTGGAGGAATGGGATCTTCTCGAGCAGTATGGCAAGCACGACACACCCAGCCGACCACACGTCCGAGCGCCACGTGTACTTGGTCTCTCCCAGCAGAACTTCGGGGGCAGTCACGTACAGCCACGCGCCATAGCAGTGCTCTTTACGCTCGCTGTCGCTCAGTTCGTAGCCAGCGACAGTCGGCCCTTCTCCGTCCTTCGACTTGATGTTGGCGATCTTACGCATCGCGTGGAACCCTCCCAGCTTGACGCCGTTCTGGAACACCAACAGATGCGACGGGGCGATGAAGCGATGCACGTAGCCTTGGTCATGCACAGCTGACAAACTCTGAAGCATGTCAAAGATAACCTTCTTACGCAACTCCGGAGCGAGAGAGACGTGGGCCTCAAAAATCCCCGAGAACATGTGCAAGGGCTGCTCGAACGCCAGGTAATGTTTCTGGCGTGTCAGGCGGTCGATGCCTTCTGGCAGCGGGTTCCCGTCATCGTCAATAGTGGCGGCAAGTAAGTCCAGCTCGTCAACGTCAGAGTTGCCAGTCTTCGACTCGCTTGTTTGACGGTCTTTTCGATCGGCAGGGAAGATGATTCCATGGAGATTCATAAAGCGGTCGGGCAAGAGCGACGAGAGCGTCGTCGCTGCTGACAGTTCGCGTAAACATGCATCGTTGAGGCCCTTTTCTTCCGTGAAGAACGTCTCCTGCTCCAGATACGGCCATGACTGCAAATACACGGGCTTCCCAGCCAAGTCGAACCCCACGTCGCTCGAGATGACGCCCAAGAAAGCTCGTTTCCGGATAGACTCGACCTTCACGATCTCGTCTGTGTGGATGCGAACCTCCCCCACATTCGAGTCGGTTGTACCAGCTGCAGCCTTTTTAGGCGAGATCGACAACGCCGAGACAATCCCCACGTGGCCACTACCGGTACTTAATGTTGAGCTGGGCACTGGTACTGCACTTCCCATCGCCTTGAACGTGATAAACCTCTTTCCTGTACTGTACGAGGGTGCTGCAGTCGAATAACCCTTCATTCCCGATGCCACAGACACGGCAGAAACCGCACCTAGAGCGGATAAACCAGCTGACACGCTGGGAGCAGGCAGGTTAACCCATTGCTTGAGCAATTGCGCTATCCTTTCCGATATCTCGACATCCTTTTTGTCCTTCGAGACGTCGAACTGGGTCATATCGAAGTCGGCCGCGTTCGCATCCTTGGGTTTTGTCTGCTGTGCGGACTTAGACTGTTTCTCCAGACGCGCCCACCGGTCTTTCAGCTGCGTGCAGATGGATAGCGAGCAGTCCAACAACATGCGCGCTTCGCTGGCGTTTCCCTGCAAGTCCAGTTGAGGCAAAAAGTCGGGGAGTTTGCTGATCGGAGGCGCTTGACGAGAGCTCAGAGCTTCCGTTACTGCCGCACTCACGTAGACCACACTGAGCATCACACATTCCACCGGCGTGTGCGTCCAAATGGGCAACGGTAAGGCCTCTGCCACCAAGTGTTTCGCTTCCTTTTGGACCTCTGGCGGGGGCAACGACGTGAGAAATGGAGTCACGTGGTGGCCATAGCCGTTTTGAGACAGCGCTACCAGCTTCTTGGAGCTCTTGCGCGTCGTCAAAAGGTCCAGCAGCGCGTACGGGTCCTCTCCTGTCACGTCGTAGTGCAGACCTTCCAGCAGTTCGCTTTCCGCCTTCACTAGATGGCGCTTGAGCACTCCAAGCTCCGGAGACGCAGCTGTGAGACGTTCAGCAGCAGCAGAACCGTGCTTGGCCTTGTAGACTTCCTTCACAAAGGCTGTCCAGGGTACTTTCCGAGCGTGGGCCTTTAGAAACAAGTGCAGCATCGTCGCCGCAAATATATCGACTTTCATCGGCATCGTGTGGAACGTGAAATATCGATTCAGCGCGATGATGGCACTGGTGGCGTCTTCTCGATCCAGCCGCAGGCCTTTGGCGATGTGGAAAATGCTCTTGACGTACTTGACTCGCAGCGTTTCTTCCAGTGACGCGGACAAAACTTGCTGGACCGACAAACTCTTGAGCTCCTCCTCAGTGACGAGCCAGTTGAGCTTCCTGCCGAAGCAATACGGGTCCGTTCTCTTCTCTTGCACGTTCTCCTTGCCTTCGGAAGACAGAGAGCTGCTCGTTATCCCCGCTTGACGCATCATTAGCACCTTGGATTTCTGATGACGAAAGTTCTCCAACTCCTTCGTGCCTGCCTGATACACTCGCAGCATCTTGTTAAGCAGGTTACGGCGGTCCAGAGTGCGACGAAACGAAGACGCAAGCTCGTAGCTTTCCAACTCCACGAGAGCCCAGCCAGTGCCATCCAGGAAGTTAAATACGTCTGCACTCACCAGTGCGTGGGGGTGTTTCCGACTGACAAACAGGCTGCGTAGCCCTCGCTCAGCGTATTCCTTGGGTAAGAACTTGACCAGCAGCTTATTGGACACAACTTTGCCCTCGCGGTCCAGCAACTCGCCGTATTCGTTCTTCTTCTGCGTATTCAAGCCGCTTTCCAGTCTCGCCATCGCTACAGGGGACGGAGTGCGTACAGGCGACTGGGACGTCGTTTCCTGCTTCGGTGACGGGTCTCTGCTATCGCTCGCGACTGGGAGTCGTCTCTTGGGGATGGCAAACACCTGGCCACCCTCTTTATCTCCGGGCGGACAGTAAAGTTGCCATCCATTCTCCTTAAGTTGCACAAACTGTTTCTCCTGCTCCTCCTCTTCCGTGTCGTTCTCGTCCGTCTCGTAGCCTCCAGGCTCCAGCAAATCCTCCACTTGGTAGCGATCCTGCTGCTCGTCGTACGCCTTCACAAGCTGCACGTCGTACTCGGTCTTGTCCTCTGGGGACAGGAAGACACGCACGCGTCGTCCTACGAGTGCGTCGCCAGTCTCCTGCTTCTCCGGGTCTCGGAAGTACCCTGTCTGCGCCTCGGCGTTCTGCAGCGTCTCGTTCTGCGTGCCGATCACCCCCTTACAGCTCGGAGCGCCGCAGCAACACGTGATCTGTCTGGACCCCAGCGCCTTCCACTTGTAATCGAACGTCAGCTCCTCGCCCACTTCGATGTCCCTCAACGCACTCACGGCGATCCTCGTCTCCCCTTTGACTGTCCACTTTTCCGTCTTGCAATTGGGTTCGCAGCTGTGGTTGACGAACCGAGTGAAGCTGCCTTTGTTCCGGGCGTCAATGTACACGCCAGGGGCCAGTAATAAGTAGTAAAAGTTCAGTTCGTGTCTCGGGACGCTCTTCAGTCGCCTCGCCAGCTCCTTCTGGTCGATAATCTCGCCCACGTACTCCCCCACGATGCTTAATTGAGGGATATGCTGTCTCGTTCGCACGCCGTAGCCCTTCTGCTCCGTTTTAAAAGGTTCTAGCAGCGGATATCGCTCGGGATGTTGCAGGCGCTGGTTCCTACAGTACTGAGCGGCTGGACACGACGCGGAGCACTCGACATACGTGGCAAAGTTGAGGCACGACACGTCGTCGCAGCGCCGCAGCTGCTCGCCCTTTTGCTCGGCGTCCTCGCGCTCCATTGCATCCGGGTACGTGCAGAAGCACAACGCGCCTTCGTCGTCTTCGTCATCTTCGTCTCGACGACTACGACGTCGCACTTTCTCCTGCGCTAGGTGCTTCAGAGGGTACTCGTTGCGCTCGATGAGCTGCACGTTGCGGAGCGCCTGCAGATGGTCGAAGCTCGTCGTCTCTGGCTGCGTGTCGGGGCTACTACTCGACGGCGACGAGCTGCTCGTCATGGCGATTTAAGAAAAACTCAAAGGTGCAAATTAGTGGCGAGTTGGGGCGGATGCCTTCTCCAGTGCCTTTGAGTGTTTGACTGCAGCGTCCGCTCACCCAGTTTGCGCGGGCAACATTTGTCAGCTGTATTCACTAGTATACTGTACGAAAACAAGTCCGATTGGCTGAGGACTGTATAAGCGACGTGTTATCCGGATTATCCTGAAAAAGTAGGCTACATGTTGAACAGAGTGATTGTCGTCATTGTCAAAAGTGAAAAGGCAACTGTAATCGGTGAAGTTGCCGTCGTGGCTGCAGACTTGGTGTTGCCACTTCTTGACGAGGTTTGAGCCGAGGCGCCACTGCCGTTCGACGGCGTACGCTTGTCGCCGACCGACGTACTGGCATCCGTGTGCTCGTACGCGTTGGCGGTGGTGCCCTTGCACACAGGCTGCAACGCGGTGCACTCGAGGATTTCCACTGTAATTCATCAATCAGAACGGTGATCAGTTTAGCATCAACAACTGCAGACGAACAAGTTGCCAATGACAAAACAGATAGACGGTACCATTTGGCATGGGCGGGAGATCGGTGGACATGGACTTGGGGCAAGACAAGATCTTCTTGCGACTCGGAGTGTAGCTGTCGTACGTGACGGTTGAGTTCTTGGTGGTCGTGTACGCCTTCTTGAGGTTGTCGTACTCTGGGTAGGGCGTGAACACGCACGGAACGGTGTCGTGGTCGCAGTCGTCCGGTTGGAAATACCCCACTCCATACTTGCCTGCATCGGCGGGCTTGAGCAGGGCTATTAAGCAATCGAACGGTTAGACCTTGCGGTTGCTATGAGAAATAGAATCGTTGCGTACCGGACTTGTCGACCAAATTGGCGACTTCCGTAGTGAACTCGAACACGTTGCCACCTACGATCTCCGCTGTCATCTCGGGCTCCTCATTCATCCATTTTGCCTACAACAAGAGGAAGGCAATCAGACCAATTTGAGACCAACGCTGGATACTCAATAGCTCGACGCACATCGTAGAACTCGCGTTGGTTCTTGTATCCGTCGATGGTGTTTGGGCCCTTGTTGCAGCCGAACTCGCCGAACATCAGAGGACGAGTGTATTTCACCTCTGCGTACTCGTCCATCAGCGTCTTCAACCCACTGGACTGCGAGTATTTCGTGTTCGTGGCTGGGTCACACTCGACGTAGGGGTTAAACCCCATCCTATCGAGAGGAGAAGAAAAAATACTGGTTAGTAAACTGCTATAATCTGATGAATGAACAGTGCCGTACCATTCAGCGCGGGTGTTCTCGTCGTTGTCGACCGCGCAATCGTAGTAGGAAATCCACTGCCAGCGTGGAGGAATATCAGCAATGTCCAGCCCCATAGGGACCTGGCGTACGGCTCCTGAACAGCTAGCAGCATAACTTCTCATATCACGAAGGAAAGCCTTGACACACGGAGCTGTCGTGGTTCCATCGGCTCCATTCTCGACCTGCAAATTGTTCTCGTTGCCGACGCTGAAGCCCAGAGTGTTGTCGTACACAGCAAACGTGTTGTAGACCATTTGCCCTCGCGTGAACAACTCGGCCGGATAGCAGGTTGGAGGGACATGATCCTGCACGGAGCAATTATGGCAACTACTCGAACATTGCGTGAGTTATGATAGCAGCAATATCTCGTGTCACTAGTGTGAAAATACGTACGGTGCAGTGACGCCTACAAGGACGTAGATTCCGGCTTCCGAGCACGCACACATGAACTTGTCGTGCGAAACACTGGGGTCGATAGAATAGAGGCGAATCGTGTTGACCCCGAGGTCCTTCATCACCTCCAAATGAGGCTTCCACACGTCTTCATGCTCATCCGCACCCCAGTCGTAGTTACCGACGTCAGCCATCTCTCCACTGTTGGGTCGGGGGTAGTAGGCCATTCCTCTCATACGGAATTCAAGTCCCGTTTTGGAACTAAAGAACTTGTTGCCCTTGGTGATGATAGGAGGAAGCCATGCACTAGTCGAGGAGAAGAGAACGAGCGAGAGCAAAGCTATAGCTGCGCTAACGTTGCGACCGAGCATTATTCTTTAAGGTGGTTTGTACTTTGCGCTGCTTCGTTGTCTAGCGGCAAGTTGAGGAGTGAACAAGGATTCCTCGGCCTCGCCATGGCTGTCACCTCCCATATAACGTTCTGGGATTTTGTAGTGTTAGCAGTTGCATTTCCAAGTCATTCGCTGGTTGTGTGTAGATTCTGAAGGTCGTGAGTATTATCTCGCAACTGTCTTACGAAACGAACGGTGCGGGAGATTCTTGAACCGCCGCTACTGCGATTGTGAGACTTGAAACCTTTCACCATCCGCTAAAAAAACCAATTCTTTTATTTTCAAATACTGAAGTATGGGTTTAGCGTAGTGCTGGATGTTGGTGTTCTCCACTCATTACTTTAGAAGGAGACGAAGAGTGCAGTGATTGCGACCATCGTCACTGGAATCATAAGCGTCGTCAACGATACGGTCGAGGCCGCTGAGCTTATGTTGTCGGAAGAGTTGAGGGGGGATGCTTGACCGCTTTCGTCGTTTGTAGGCGGCACCTTGTCACCGACCTTGGTACTCGACGAAAAGTGCATGTACGAGTTGGCCTTCTTTCCCTTACACACTGGTTGAGCCGCGGAACACTCCAAAATGGTCACTGATCATGCAGCAACAACATTAGTTTCCAGCAGTGGGGAACCGGTTGGATACTAGGCTCTCTCACCTTCGGGTGTCGAGGGCAAGTCGATCGACATGTTCTTGGGACAAGTCAGCATTGAGTCTCGTTCCGGAGTATAGCTTTCGTACTCCATCGTCGACGCATTGGTGGTCGTGTATGCCATCTTGAGATTGTCGTACTCTGGATACGGCGTGAAGACGCACTCGATCTTGTCATTGTCACAGTCATCCGGCTGGAAATATCCAACGCCGTATTTGCCTGCGTCTGCTGTCCTTACGAGAGCTGCAAAGCAGAAATCGGACAACCAATGATGAAACAATTCTAAAACCGAAAAGAATAAACACGGACCTGATCGGTTCAGCAGATTCGCCTTCTCCGTCGAGAATTCGAAGACGTTACCGCCCACAATCTCATCCATCATATCCTTCTCCTCGTTCATCCACTTGGCCTACACCATAGCAAATTGTCAGACCTGGGCTATTAGCAACGAGGCTCATACTACCGCAAACTCACATCGTAGAACGATCGTTGGTTGTCGAAGCCGTCAATCGTGTTCCTCCCCTTGATGCATCCGAATTCGCCAAACATCAGCGGTCGAGCGTATCCCACTTGAGCGTACTCGGCCATAAGTTTTGTTAGTCCTGTAGACTGCTGGTATACCTTGTGAGTGGCTGGATCACATTCCACGTACGGATTGAATCCCATCCTGTCCAAAGGGAGTGGTTCAGCTAAAGTTTGGTAATTGTCCTCAAATAACACTTACCACTCTGCTCGAGTGTTCTCGTCGTCGTCAACCGGACAGTCGTAGTACGAGATCCATTGCTCACGAGGAGGAATGTCGGCGATATCAAGGCCAATAGGAACCTGACGCACTGACCCAGTGCAGCTAGCAGCGTAACTCCTCATATCTCTTAGAAACGCCTTAACACACGGGGCCGTTGTGGTTCCATCGCGTCCATGTTTGACTTGGAGATTGTTTTCGTTGCCAACACTGAATCCGAGCGTGTTGTCATAGACTGCGAAGGCGTTGTAGACCATTTGACCTCGACTGAACAAGACGTCGGGGTAGCATTTAGGCGGTTCGTAGTCCATTATGGAGCAGTTCTCACATCTGTCAGCACGAAAGCATCAGTAAAATGATTGAACCTTTAGATACCCATACACGTGTTACTTACGGGGCTGAAACTCCAACAAGCACGTAGATACCAGCATCTGAACATGCACACATGAACTTATCGTGAGGTACACTTGGGTCTACAGAGTACAGTCGAATCGTGTTCACGCCTAGATCCTTCATAACTTTCAAGTGAGGTTTCCACACTGCTTCATGGTCGTCGGCAGCCCAGTCGTAGTTGCTGACATAGGCCATGTCACCACTGTTGGGTCGGGGGTAGTAGGCCATTCCTTTCAGCCGAAATTCGATCCCCGAGTCCGAGTCGAAGAGCTTATTGCCCTTAGTGACAATAGGTGGGAGCCATGCAGCTGCTAGATACACACTCGAAGCTATGCACAGCGCGGCAACAACACAAAGAGAACGAACTCGCGAACCGAGCGGCATTGTGTGGAGCTGAATGGACAGCGAGAAATGGCCACATCTAGTCTGTCAATTACATGAGCGATCGCCTTCCATCCTTGGCATTAGTCAGATTGCCTTTGTCTAACACTTTCAGCAGCTTCGAAGCGAAGTCTCTTAAGTCAGATACTTTGATCGATAGCATCGCACTCCCTTGACTACCATTAGTGCCACGCTTGTCGAAGTAAATATTGTGAGCAAAATTACGTGTTAGGGAGATATGATCGAGATCCACTCAAACTACGTTTAAATCATCGACAAAATGAATGCTACTGCTGCAGAAGCAGCGAGCGCTGGTAATGTGGACATGCGGTTGGCCGCATCGGTAATCGCCGCAGCTTCCTCGTTTGAGGGTTTCCGTTTGTCACCGACCGCCGTAGTTGAGTCCGCGTGCTGGTACGAGTTCGCCTTCTGCCCGTTGCAGACTGGTTGTGCATCTGAACACTTCACTACCACACGGTGACAAAGCGAGTTAGTCCACGACAAATAGTAGCACTTAATATCATCTTAAGCTCACCTTGAGGAGTTGGTGGCAAGTCAATTGACATGTTCTTCGGACAACTCAGGATGGCGTCACGTGGGGGGGTGTAGCTATCGTGCTCTACAGCTGAAGCCTTCGTGGTTGTGAACGCCTCTTTTAGGTTTTCGTACTCTGGATACGGTGTAAACTCACACAAAACCTTTTCGTTGTCGCAATTGTCCGGTTGGAAGTACCCGACCCCGTATTTACCGGCATCCCCAGCCTTAATCACAGCTGAGCTGTCCACTAGGTTGACGATCTCCGTGGAGAACTCAAACACGTTTCCACCAACGATTTCGTCCGTCATTTCCTTTTCCTCATTCATCCACTTTGCCTATCGTCATAAGTAATAAATATGTGTCAATCTTACGTGAGAAAACGCGAATTTGTAGAAACTTACATCGTAGAAAGAGCGCTGGTTTTCGTAGCCATCGATGGTGTTTTCTCCAATGTTGCACCCAAACTCACCGAACATCAGAGGACGAGCGTATCCCACTTCAGCGTATTCGGCCATCAACTTCCTAAGCCCCGTAGATTGCGTGTATTCCGTATGGGCGGTGGGATCGCATTCCACGTACGGATTGAATCCCATCCTGCCCAAAGGGAGTGGTTCAGTGCTAAAGTTTGGTACTTGTCCTCAAATAACACTTACCATTCTGCTCGAGTGTTCTCATCGTCATCAACCGGACAATCGTAGTACGAGATCCATTGCCCACGAGGAGGAATGTCAGCGATATCAAGGCCAATAGAAACCTGGCGCACTGATCCAGTGCAGCTAGCAGCGTAACTCCTCATATCTCGTAGAAACGCCTTAACACACGGAGCGGTTGTGGTTCCATCGGCGCCATTTTCGACTTGTAAGTTGTTTTCGTTACCAACGCTGAATCCGAGCGTGTTATCGTACACTGCTAATGCGTTGTAGACCATTTGACCTCGACTGAACAAGTCATCGGGGTAGCATTTAGGCGGTTCGTAGTCCAAGATGGAGCAGTTCTCGCAGCTGTAGAAAGGTACATGTACATGTAGATTACACCGTTAAAACACGATTTTTTAGCAACAAAGCGCGTTACTTACGGGGCAGTTAGACCAACCAGCACGTAGATACCTGCCTCCGAACACGCACACATGAACTCGTCGTGCGATAGACTCGGGTCAATCGAGTACAGACGAACTGTGTTTACACCCAAATCTTTCATCACCTTGAGGTGAGGCTTCCACACTGCTTCGTGTTCATCTACAGCCCAGTCGTAATTACCGACGTCTGCTAAATCTCCACTGTTAGGTCGGGGGTAGTAGGCCATTCCCTTCATTCGGAATTCAAGTCCAGACGTCGAATCGAAGAGCTTGTTGCCCTTGGTGATGATCGGAGGAAGCCATGCATCAGCTGGAGAGCTGGCAGTGTAAAGTGCTACAGCAGCACAAAGGGCACGGATACGAGAGCTGTACGTCATATTCGGTAGCTCTATCACTTAGTTTTATGGTGATCTGAGTCAATCTGTCTGCATTTCTCTTATTGAAGTGGGGGGACAGGCGATGGCCTTAGACTTTTTTTTTCGACATGTCGTTTGTTAAATTGAAGTTTCAACCACGTTATGAACATTAAAATGGGTGATGATCTCTCTTAACGAAAGGCGCTCACGTGCCTGGCCGACCGCTCTAGAAGACGGACAGGGCAGTGACGGCAACCGTAACCACAGACAAGACGAGCGCAGCCGCAGAAGCCGTCGCACTTGCGCCGCTGCTACCGGCCGCGGCATCCGTGACGGCAGTGTCGGGGTTCTCCTCGTTCGTCGGTTTCCGCTTCGCACCCACCGCGGTGCTGGGAGAGAAGTGCTCGTAGCTGTTGGCCTTGACGCCGTTGCACACTGGCTGCGTGATGGTGCACTCGAGGACGGGAACCTTGGGCGTAGGCGGCAGCTCGCTCGAGATGTTCTTGGGACACGTCATGATGGTGTCACGCGTAGGCTCGTAGCTGTCGTGCTCAACCGTCGAGTTCTTGGTGCTCGTGTACGCCTTCTTGAGGTTGTCGTACTCCGGGTAGGGCGTGAAGACGCACTCCGTCTGGTTGTTGTCGCAGTCTTCCGGCAGGAAGTACCCCACACCGTATTTGCCGGCGTCTCCAGTCTTGGTTAGAGCTGGTCGTACAAAAAATGTAGAAGTTAGTTCACCATCGTACAGAAAATCAAGCAGCTACTACTGTAGCACTCACTTTTGCTCTCAACCAAGTTGGCAATCTCCGTAGTAAATTCGAACACGTTGCCACCCACAATTTCGTCGGTCATTTCCTTCTCCTCGTTCATCCACTGAGCCTGTTGAGTCGTACAAAAAACGTCAATACTCGTACGAAATATGAACCCACACTAAAACTCATACGTACATCCAGGAACGAGCGCTGGTTCTCGAAGCCGTCGACCGTGTTGATTCCCTTGTTGCAGCCGAACTCGCCAAACATCAGTGGACGTGCGTAGCCAACCTTGGCGTACTCCGACATGAGTTTCTTCAGCCCCGTGGACTGCGAGTACTTGAGGTGAGTAGCAGGGTCGCACTCGACGTACGGGTTGAATCCCATCCACTCGGCACGCGAGTTCTCGTCGTCGTCGATAGCGCAGTCGTAGTACGAGATCCACTGCTCACGAGGAGGGATATCGGCAATGTCCAGACCGATCGGCACCTGGCGGACCGAGCCCGAGCAGCTCGCAGCGTAACTACGAGTATCACGCAGAAAGGCCTTGACACACGGGGCCGTGGTCGTTCCGTGCGCTCCGTTCTCGACCTGCAAGTTGTTCTCGTTACCGACACTAAAGCCCAGAGTGTTGTCGTACACGGCGAAGGCATTGTACACCATCTGTGCGCGGGTGAACAAGTCATCAGGGTAGCACTTTGGCGGCTTGTAGTCCAGCACGGAGCAGTTCTCGCACGGCGCCGTGATACCGACGAGCACGTAGATGCCAAGATTGGAACACGCACACATGAACTTGTCGTGCGCCTTGCCCGGGTCTACGGAGTACAGACGAATCGTGTTGACACCGAGGTCCTTCATCACCTCCAAGTGCGGTTTCCACACGTCTTCGTGCTCATCCGCAGCCCAGTCGTAGTTACCGACATCGGCCATTTCTCCGCTGTTGGGTCGGGGGTAGTAGGCCATTCCCTTCATACGGAATTCGAGTCCCGTCTTCGAGTCGAAGAACTTGTTGCCTTTGGTGATGATCGGAGGGACCCAAGCATCGGTGGGGGACACGGCGATCGCAGTGCACAGAGCAGCAGCGACACAGAGGCCGCGGACACGGGAGCCGAAAGCCATTTTTAAAGTTGAAGAGAGATGAAAGTACTGAGGTCCAGAGGAAGTCAGTATCCGGTAGCTTCTCGTTAGATGCGAGCAGCAAAATGGAGAATGAACTGGAGAACTGTGTGGGAGAGCTCCATCATATGAAACTGAGGCCACGATTTGAATTCAGTTGCACTCTGTACGCACAGGCGAAATTGTGGGAAGGCTCTGGATATTTCGTTCGGTTGCACGTTTCGTTTTGCTGTTTGTGAGACCTGATTAATCCCATGTGGTCGACATAACCTGGTCAGCACTTGCGCGTGCAGACGACGTCAGTGAATTGAGACTCGTAGCGAAGCCAGGTCTCCGTATTGTGAATCACAATTTGTGATAAATTGGGTATGTACTGTACTGTAGAGAGCACCAGTCAAACTGACGGCCTTGAATCTCGTCTTGTCGCTCCCTACAACGTTGACATCGAACCGCCTCTTTGTTGGACAATTCGACTCCTCGTCCTCGAAGTGACACCGGCAAATTTCATTGTATCCGAAGCACGCACGAATCAGACTCTTGTCCAGTGTGCGTGCGTGGCACCACCTTCAACACGGGAAAACTTACACCGAGATCACAATCGGTGCCAACTATTTGTACCTGGTACGTTTGGGAGAAAAGCAAAAGTGATACACGTAGAATCGACGTCCGTCCAGTGATCTGTGATTGCAAACCCGTTGCTACGTGCAGCAAACTACGCACCAGCACTATTAATATTGTACAGTGTATTCGAAACAGTAGAGTGGTTTAGCAGCAGGAACTTGTGTGAGTTGTAGACCAGCGCCAATCACACAACCCTAATCACACTGCCGCTTGCCAGCGAAGCATTTTGCAGAGCGAACGCGAGCTCTTATCCGTCCTTGGTGTATACTACATTTGCAAAGCACACAAGCCAGTCAAGATGCTCGAGGAGAGCTCTCGCAGCGACCGCCCTGAACCTCGTCCTCGTCGAGGACGCCGCTGTGCTCTTCGCCAGATCTCCTATTCCACGACCAGTCCTCACACTGAAGGGCAACTTCAATTTCAACGCATTAAGCGACGGAGACTGTCGTTTTAATTTCCGATTCTGGAAGCGTGACGTAATTCGGCTGCACAAGGCGCTGCGGCTTGAGGAATACTACAAGCTACCGAGCCGCCTTCGCGTTGGTGAAGTCGAGGGGCTCTGTGTGTTGCTGCGCCGGCTCGCGTACCCTGGACGGTACGGGGATCTTGCTGTGATGTTCGGCAGGTCGCCCAGTGCGCTGTGCCTGATCTTTCGCTTCATGGTGGACCTAATCTACGCTAAGTGCAGCAAGCTTCTTGCACGCGGCAGTCCTATCGACAGGTGTATCGGCTTCATTGATAGCACGGTGCGTGGCATCGCCCGACCAGTGCGCAACCAACGACAGTGCTATAATGGGCACAAAATGCACTCAAGTATACAGTATTCGGATGTTAAAGTGCATAGATATACATTTGTATACGACTTGTAGAAAGCTTATCAGTCGTAGCTACATCACTTGAACGAACGTGTGACGCTCGTCTCTGGCAATCCTCACAGAAAAAACCGGGCGTCACACGTTCGTAGCTTTCTGCTGAGCCACTCTAGTGTATTTGATTCAAACGTTTTAATGGACAAGCGCGGACATGGCCAGCTAATTAGTGCTGATGAGATAAGATAGCGCAGACAAGATTGTCCTTACTGGGAATTCGTCCCATACCGTCATCTTGGCAGTCGTACAAAACACATTTCGAAGGACAACTCTTGCACCCCCCCATGCTTCCGCAAAAGTATGGCAATATTTGTCATTTTCGCTTAAAAGTGAAATCGAAACATACGATTAATTAATAAAAAACAATGTCGGACGGCCTGCTATAATGAATAAGTGTTGCTTATCGTAGGACGTTTACACCCCACAACTTTTGCATAACCTGGTGCTGTGTTGAGGTATTCGTCCACGATCAGGTTGCCCTCCGGGTTGATGCGTGCTTGCTGGAATAGAAGCGAAACGTCCTCCAAATTTCCCAGCAATTTTAGCAATGGCGACACCATATCCGCTTGGGTGATCCGACTCAAACCGCGACTGGAAGTACTATCCCACTTGAAGTGCACTGACCCGTGCATGACAAGACGTTTATCCGCGAGTTTGGCAGCAACACGAGACAGCTTGCTCTCCTGATCACGACCGAGATTTTGCCTTGCCAGGTGAGGGAACAAGTTGGTCAGTGAGTTTCTGGTGATGGTGATACTCGTCGTAGTGGTGGCAGCAAGCAAGTTTTCTGAGGCCTGGACCAATCGGCCCAAACGAAGCCGAACATCTTGAAAGTGCATTGTATAGAGTATCCAGCTCCTTGTCAGCGCCTTCACCCCGCGCACCGTTCCGGCGTCCAAGTCTTGTGCCATCGTAGCTTTTAGGAATTCCATCGCGATTAAACACGCCTCCCTTGATGCAGGTAGTCCGCATCGAAACACGCGGAAGTACTCTACCGCGACGCACCAAACGGTATCTCTCGATGTGACTCCATGTGTAAGGACTCCGTGTATCCGGCTTAGTTTTTCAATCTCCTGCTGTAGTTCGTCATTACCCACGGCCAGTTTGCGTTGCTTTGCCCTGTAGCGCATTTGGGCTTGTCGGCGACGTTCTCGATCATACTCTCCGATGATGGCCCTCAATTGATTAGCGTAGGGAAGTGTTTCCGCATCTTGCTGGGGCGAAGGCACCAAGTCGAAGTCAACGGCGATGGACGCTGACGTAGAGGTAGATGCCGGCGAAGGTCCTTGCGCAGTTTTGCCTTGGTGTTGACCCAGGATGGATCCTCGAGATCTCGCTGTATGAACGTGATGCGCTCGTGAGCGCTGCACGACGCTCGCAATGACATTTTCACTGAGCAAGTGTTTGTTGGGCGGGGCCAAAGTGTTGGATAGCATGGTACGTCAACAGAAAAACGAGAGCTGACTTGGTCTGGGCTAATTCAATACGCGATGCAGACGCTGAGCGCCAGCGAAGTTTGTTTGAGTAAAAAATGCAATCAACGTGGCAGAGCTATTACAATTGTCGCGAGTGATCTGCTAACATGTGTAAAGGTGTAATCAATCTGGCAAGGATACACATTCATCAACGTGAGTGACTCACCGCCGTTGAATTAAGTCCAGCAGCTTACTGAGCGCTGGTACCACCTTTTGGCACCAGCGATTCTAGAACTCATAGCAGCTACTTTTCGAAGTAGAAATATGTAGTCTCCTCTGCGGTTTCGAGGACGTGTATTTGACCCGTTTGGACAAACATTAAGTATTTAATGCATGTGCTGTAGCATGTGTTTATAGTATTACGTGTAGTATGAAACTCGAGATAAAAAGCAGTGCCGTAGTACAGCGAGGGGATAGACGCTTTATCCATCTGCAGCGGTGGTTTGGCAAGAAAGAGGGGATGTTTACGCTCACCAAAGATGCAGCATTATTAATAAAGTTCAACAGGCTCACACTGTGAGCCTGTGAGTCACAGCGCTGCAAAATTTAGCCAGATAAACAGGGTTCAAGGAGAGAAACACATGCTGTGTACTGTAAGAAAAATCTCTTTCCAAATGCCGCAACTGTAATTACATTAATTATTTGCATATCATTGGTTTCTAATTCATTTATGGCAAAACTTTTAAAACGATTTATAATACGTTAATCTAAAAACGCACACAAATGGTCGGTTTAAATCCGCTTATACAGGTGAATGGCTAGCTCTTCGAGTTTCATCATTGCCGGTCGGCAAATTGTGGATAAGACAGCAGAGCAAATAAGTTACTGATAGTTTGAGAGTAGTTTTCCACAGCTGACAGCAACATACTAATTTCGATACCAGCAAATGAATTCCCGGACAAAAGCAAATTGGCTGACATGTTTATATGTATGCTGCCGCATTTGCAGATTGGCAACGTCCAGAATAATAAGCACTTAATGAAACCAAGTGTAGCAACCAAACAAGGGTCCCATCAGCAATGCACGAAGCGGTTCGGGGGGATTTGCGCCGTGGAGTTTTAATAATAAGGGAGTGAGTGCTGCACCCACCTCGTGCACATGGGACAGTGCTGGAGGGCTTGAGATCCGCATCCGGCTTGCGGGTATACCTCGTGTAGCGTATACTTTCCCCCCCCCACACATTTTTGCAGCGGGGGCAAATCAGCAGCAGCCAGGAAGCCATGGCGCCCGACCTGCACGTCAAAGCGGCGGTGCGACCGCCGCGCCACGGAGGAGGGGCGAGTGATAGTGAAGAGGGGGTCGACAGCGACGAGGAGTGGTTCGACTCGTCAGCGGAGTCGTCGGGTACCGGCAGCTCCACGTCCAAGCAGCGTCGATCGGATGTTTCCGACAGTCTCCAGACAATCCAGAGCGGTGAGCAGCCAGTGGTGATAGCTCCGCCACTCGAGAAGAAAGAGTTTAATTCCTGGGGCGCCTTAGACGCGTATCTAAAAGTCTATTCAGCCGAGACATACCAGGTAACGTTTGATGCACTGCATATGGTAGCAGGAGCCGTATCGCATTATCTAACTGGTTTGTGCGTATAATTGCTGCGTACAGAGCTTCCGCGTTCGCACTAACAACAAGGTCGTGACGAGAAATAAGAAGATTCGAGACTCCGGGTCTACGAAGCCGCTTGTGCCCGAGGGGTGGACTCATTATTCGAAGACTTTCGTCTGCACCCACGCAGGGAAGTACAAGCCGCGTGGACAAGGCAAGAGAAAGCGGCAAGAGTCGAGAGCTCTCGAGTGTGACGCGCAGGTGTGTGACGCTCAGTCGGGCTCAGTCGGGCTCAGTTGGGCTCAGTTGGGCTCAGTTGGGCTCAGTTGGGCTCAGTTGGGCTCAGTTGTGCTCAGTTGGGCTCGGATGAACTGAAATGGATTTGAATGGTGCTGTTGGTTAACCATGCATGTGCTCACGTACAATTGTATCGCTACGTAGATCAATGCCTGCGCACAAGTGACCGACTCGGCTGCAGCAGTTCCCACTTTTGTGCTGC